AATAAAAGATGAAGTTTACACAGAAAGAAAGAGATGCGAAGCACCTCACGCAGGCCTGCAATCACAAGCAGCTACATTATATAACCACTTCATAAAAGCACAGAACCTTAAACAACCTCAGAATAGTTAGCTTTCTTCCAGTCTTTGCTCTGAATTACAGGCTTTTTAAAAAACCATTTACAGCTAGACTTACACTGTTCAAATATTAAAAATTGTTATCTTACTGAGTAGGTAATGTTCCTTATGTATACTTTGAATAAAACTTTTTAACTTAAGTGGAAAAAAAACTAATCAAGTTTCTTTTTTTTCATTGTATTTTCATCATACTAGCCTGAAGGAATCAGACTAGTTGAGACAAAATGAGTTAATTTGGCAGATGTTTGCCCAATTTATAGTCATAGTATCTTTCAGATGCATTAAGGACAATAATTCAAGGTTTCTTTAGAGCAAAATGGGTTCTGCAGAGCTTTCATTGGAGATGCTTTGGAAGCAGTCCCACTTGGCTTTCAAAATGAATCTGTAGGCATTGAAATGAGACAACCTCTAAAGAAAGCTCATGTATTGCAACAGTTACTGATGGACAAAATAAACCAACTAGAAACCCTTACAATGCTATTTTCAATGCAAATGTTTCTAAACCTAGAATGCAGTTTAGCCACAGTATTGACATTTAAATGGAAACAAGGCACAATCCAGTAAGGGTAAATCTGAACATTTGTGCCAATTCCTTTTTATCAGGCATTATCTTTCTTTGTCAATTTTCTTTGTATGTAGCAAAATATATACATATGTATATATTGCCATCTAAATATTGAAATCTAAATTATTCCATCAAAATGAGAATGAAAGAAGAGAGGAATCACAGATGAGCAGTACACATAGAACTCAGCCATTATTGATTTAGCTACTGTAAATTATTTGTTGGGCAAGTCTTACTGTATATTCTTACCATAAGAATGAACAACTTGGTCATGAGTCAGAAGAGTTTAGACCACCATGAACAGAAAAGCTGATGAGAGGTTCTAAAGGATGCAAGTACAATATTGGAAATCTTAGCTCAGGACTTGAAAGCTGGTCTACCCTGACAACACTACTTCCAGTATAGGACATGTAGCTCATTCATATACCTCTACACCAGTCATCTTCACATTATGTAAAGGAATGATGTCCCCTTTACATTAGGTATACTGCACTTTGTTAAAAATGTACCAACAGCCTCAATTAAAGGGAGTTTTCTGTTTAAATATCCATCTTGTAGTGGGTCATAGAACTGCCTCACCATATGGTTTCTCATTAATTTTAATGATGTATAAGATGCAGTATATGCTACTAAAAGAAACTCAAGAAAAGCATAGATGATGAAAAGAAAGACATATGGAGGAAACACAAGCAGAAAAGCTTGAGAAAATAAAAATAAAAATCTAAAATAACAACACATTCCTATGCAAAATCAAGAGCTCACAATAACCTTGTGGGCACTAGAACTCTCACAGTACCACTGTCTAGTTGTGCATGCTCATTTTGAGAGGTAAAAATGTTCATAGCAGAATGCTGAAGACATACATGTCCCTTCATCTTTAAATTGCACAAAACACAAGGATTTACAGTGCATAAAACCCATTCTGAATAGGCTGCTAAATTGTTACTAAAAGTCAAATATATCAGCTGCCTGGGGAGCTGGACAGCAGCCAAGCATCCCAAGTTCAATATATACAGGATCCCTATTTGTTCTCTCTCATAACATAAATGATTACAGCTACTGTAACTGAAAGATACTATTAAGGCATCTTCCATAATGTTTGCTGTTAAAGTCTCTCCCCAATTATTTAAGCTGATTCTCATTTTAGCAAACGGGGATAATACTCAACAGAGCAAAGTACAACAAAATATTCTGGACTGAAAAGTAGAACGTACAAAATATTCAGTTTACTTTCAAGGCAAAAGGCACAGTAAGTGCCAGGACTACCAAAATACCTGTTTTGAGCCTCTGCAGAAATCTGACTGCATTCCTGAATGTTCATAGCAAGAATATCACACAGATCCCCAATTTTCACTTTTTCTAGTCAATTGTGACTACTGTGAAATTTGATCCTCGCTGTGGTCACCTCAGCATCAGACCGCACGAAAACGCAGCTCAAGCAAAATTACTTGAAAGAGTAATTTATGTTCACCAATTATTACAAGTTTAAGCCACATTTCTGAAAGACGAACCACTTATTTCATGCAAAATTCATCTCTGAATTCTGCCTGTGTTCCCCAGTCTCTGATTTAAGATAGGCTAATTAGTGCATTTTCCAAGCACGGCCTCTCCACTGTATAAATACAAAACATTCGGTTATTACGTGTCTTTGGCTTCTATCAGAAATCTACATTATGTTGGTCAAAACAGTAACCTGGATGTGGTTTTCCAGAAGGTAGAGAGTATTATGAAGAGTTGTCATGGCCTGTATCGCAATTGTTTCCATCAACGTATTGCAGACAAATAGAAAATAATGAGATTAATTCATTAAGCCTTTGTTTAGATGAGAAAATAACTTTACTTGCAAGTCTACCTTATCAACTGCTTATTTAAAGATCTGGCAAATCTCAAATTGGCTGTTACAGAATTACAGTGTTTGATCTACTATAAACTGCTGTAACAGATAAATATGTACAGCAAGCCAAAATACTAAAACAAAAACAAAAACCTCCACAAAACTGAAAAAGGCCTAATAAATAAGCAGCCACAATCACCTTTTCTTTTAAAAACAAACATAAATCTTGCAGTGATTGTTGCTAAAGATTTGAGTACTTTGAACATGGTAATTAATACACTACAGATCATCATTTCAGCTGCAATTCTAAACAGTAAAAAGGTTGTCCTGTTCACAGATGAACTATCCTTATTCTTTTTCAGTTCTTCTGCCTATTCACCTTCTATGTAAGGACAGGATGCAGAAGTATTCAATACAGCAAAGACAATGAACAAATTTCAGACACCTTACAGCTAAATCCATATTTAGTTACTAAAATAAACAATTGGACTTATCAATAGATTGGTCACTTGTATTATCTCTCCATAAAAATCTGAGCATTTAAGCTACTCTGTAGTCTCTCTCTTTGGTTCCCAGGAGACTACCTATTAACTTCTACTTTCAGGGCAATGTTTTCCACATCATAGACTGAGGAGATGGAAATACATCAACCCGATTTTGTCCAGTTGCAGTCTTTTTGAACGGCTAAAGAGACCCAGTAAAAAAGTAGTACTGAACCATTTGCTTTAACTAGCTAACGTACCACATTCAGTCCTAAGAAACAGCACAAACATAAATATTCATCAGGTTACTATTCTATGTTGAGCTATATCCACACTAAGTTAATGAAACGGGTCGTATACGGTACCAACCGTTCCCAAGGTTTTGCAGAGTTATGTTTATGAAAGGTTAACAGCAGGCACTAATACAAGTATCATGACTCTTTTCAGGCAGTAGGTGAAACCTTGAAGAAAAAGTGGCTCTGTCTTCAAAAAAGTGACCTGACCTTTGCTTTGGTGGGTTTTTTACTCTGCAAGAAATAAAAAGCACTGCATGCTTTCCAATGCATCCTTTCTACCTGCTAACTGCTTTGGTTTATCACTCAGCACAAAAGGACTAAGTGTTATAAAAATCAAGTAGCATGGTATTAGTGCTAAAGATAGCTCCACATGTCATTCAATAATGGAGCTTCATAGACCTGAAATGCATCATATGAGTCATGTACAGAGTAAATACATAATGGGCCAAGAACCTTTGATATGCTTAGTAATTAGAAGTAATTTTCATTGATTTAAGTATATTTAAATTAAATTTACCATGACCTTGCAGTTCTTTGGATATCAAAGGCACCACTACTCCAGCATGCTTATAACTTACTACACTTCTGCTCTGTGGATTTCTTGCAGCATGCAAAGAACTCTTTTTAGGGTAACAGGTTATGTTGCACAAGCAAGGAAACCTATTAAGGATCTGTCAATTAATAAAATTTCTTCTAAAAAGCACAACAGTATGTTAAGTTTTTACATGCAATAGATGAAATGTTTCTGAAACACCATTTAGTTCAGTATAAAGAAGTTGTTGTGTTTGTGTTGTTGTTTTTTTTTCTTTTATATTGGACACTGAATACTTTGCTAGAGGAAGTAGTTCTGTTATATGTTATGGTAGTAAAGAACCCCTTCTGTTAATAGAGATAAGCATTTAAATATATTCAAGTGTAGTGGAAAATGCTGCTTTTATGGAGTCAGATCCTGCAGTCTTCGCACAGCTAAAACCTCTACTGAAATCAATGGGAGCTTTACAAGTACAACCATGAGGATGTGCCTGAGGTCACCAGCATAGCACAGTTCTGCTGCTATGCTCGATGCATGATCAGGCATCTTCTGCCACTTCAAGAGTAATAGAAATGAAAATACAGATACTTACGCAAATTCAAGAAGGTAAATACCCTTTTAAAGCAAAAAGTTCAGCTATAAAGTATGTGGCAGATAACATTAAGGCATTTTGTGCTTGGTTAAAATATTAAATTAGATGTGAATATATGTTTTTGATTCTTTCAAATATTTACAGTATCTGAAGTGCATTTTAAGAAAAGTTTATAATAAATTACTTCAAGTTCGATGTTTTTTTGGAAGATGCATAGCACTATGACAGCAGAATTTGGCTCCATATATTGTTAGCAAAAACACAGTTTATATCATGTAAGCTGCTTTTTAAAATATTGCTAGAGTTATTAAAAGCTTTGGGCCCAGCCCTATAGGTTACTTCCAAATTTAAGTGAGAGTTTGCCTCAGTGAAACACAAAGATCTGCACCTTATTTGCAACATCAGCCTGATCCAATGTTTTAGTGGTAAACAGGTGTTCTGTGGTAACCAAAATTAAATCAAGGAGCTGATCACTCAGCTCTTAGTCATTCAGACACCCTACCCTGCAAAACATCCCAATCCTTCAGATCGGCCTGGATTACTCTGGCCAGCCTGGCTGCAGCAAGGCAGCAGGAAATACTTCTGTTGACTTCAGTGGGGCAGCTCTAACAAATAACAAGACTATGGCTAGACACCACGATGCTAACTTAGAGGCTCACTGCTGATTTATTGTTCTTTTTGAACAGTGTTTGTGCGTTCCACGTCGACCCAGACCTTGCCTCCTGCAGTACGCGCCGTCTCGTGTCGTGTTGCGCGGGCGCGCTCGGGCTGCTGCTGACTCGCCCTTGTTGGTTTCCCTGTTGTAGGGGAAAGGCTCTAGGGCGGCAGATAAGGCTGTTGCCATGGTGATGAAGGAGATTCCGAGGGATGAGGCTGCAGAGGAAAAGCCCCTCCTCACTATGGCGTCACAGGTGGGCGCAGCGCGGGGCTCAGAGCACACGGCACCGGCCGGCAGAGCGGGGATGTGCAATGTGGCAGTGTGGGGGAGCTGCTCGGGGTCAAGAGCTTGGGGTTGAGGTGTTCTCTCATGAAAGTTAGACAAAAACATTTTTCCCCCCATTAGATAAAAAGATTCTTAGAAATTTCAGCCACATACCAGCAAGTTGCCTAAATTTGCCTGATTCAAAATACCAATTCATAAAGCCAGCAATCATGCAAACTATACTTGTTTCATATTCAGCACATACACAGAGGAAGAATCACTCCATAGTAGTATTTGAAATATCTCAGACGTCATCCCTTGGCTCCCAGTGGTCCAAGGCAGATTATTTGGCTCTGTAAATCCTGCTTCCATTCCCACAAGCCCAGTCGCTGGAAAGACATAACTTCAGTGCACAGAGCCCCACACGTTAAGGTGCCAGCAAGCACCAGGTGGACCCCTTACCTGATGGAAGTCAGTGGCTGCAGCACCGCCACACAGCACAGCACTTCCATCTCACTCCAACAGTGATTCCATTCTCTCGTGGTGTTCACATCCATGAATGTACCGAACACCCAACTCTGCTTCCGCTCTAACTCTGATGTCTATGAACTGACAGCCCAAAGGAAAAGGATGCTCTCTTTAATGCGCCATTTCTAATTGTGCCCTTAATTGTTGATGAACAATTAGAAATTAACACAAAATGCTGCCCCTTCCTTCCTAAGTGCAACATTTTCATTTGCTTCAACAATGTTTAACTTGAATGTTTATGCATTTGTACCAGTTGTCTGTAAGTCTACTCAGCAATTGTGTGATACATTTATGAGTGAAATGTATGTCTGTTAGTGTAATTTCTTCCACTAAATGCAAATACCAACTTCCCTGCTATGCACCAAAGGGGTGCAGAAGCCAAAAGGAAGCAGAATCAAGTGAAAAAGTGAGTATTTTCCATAGCCATCTCTGCATCATGTACACGTGATGTACAGCTCCATGACCATGTCGCATACGTCATTTATACCCTAATTGTCGGGATGTCATGTTGTTGTGAGATGCTGTTTCCTTAGTGTGCCTGTGTAAACCTCTCGTTCAGACCATTCATTCGGAGTTACACAGTGGTATATTGTGAAACAAATTTAACCATCACCATCAGTGTTCATCTGGGCTCTCCACATGATGAAACAGATATGGTCGCCACACACAGTGGGAAATATGCAAGTTCCAAATTGGCTGCAAACAGAATTCCCAAGCCAGACTAAATTAGGTCATGAAAATAAGGCCTGGTATTTCCAAAGTGATCGACTCCACTGAACCCAGTAGTGGTGTGTGTATAGATATTTCCCTCTCAGGAGTTTCATTACATATTGTCCTGCTTCACTTTTCAGAGTACAGCTAGCTAAGCAACAAAATTTGTAAGCAAAATGCTAGGACTGAGCCCAGGTAGAAGAGTATTTGCTGTTAGAAAAGTAGATTCCCTAACATCTTCAATGAAAGGAGAACTAATCATGTCTGACTATAAAAGCAGACCACCAAAGAAGCAGAGGTGGAATCTCAGACACAAGGAGGAGATGCCAAATCCTTGTTTTAACTGAGAAATAGTGAAAATACAGAGAAGTCCCTGAAATCTTATGTTTTCCTTGCTTCCTCTAAAAAAGGTTAAAACTATATCCAACAGAGAACAGAGAATTCAGGTGCACACTCACATTTTATTAGCTCCTACCTAAGCCTCTGTTTGTAAAATAACCTTTTTGTTGATGAGTGCTCAGCATGAATTAAATTTTGACAGTTTCCAACTCACAATTTATATCAGATCTCAAGGCAAATCTCCAAATAAACTGAGAAAGTACCACAGATTCCTGTGGGGCTGTTCTGATATATGGCAACAAGGAATATGAACAATCATTCCAGCATTAATGAATCTACTACAGTAAGCAGAGGGGTATTCTTGGTAATTGAATATGCCTTTCAGCACCTATTTTCTGTGATTCTATCCCAATTATTTTCAATGAAAGTCACTTTATTGGTAAGAAAAGGCATTCAGTAGTTGCCAGAGTTAATATTTTGAAGCATCACGAGAGAGCCTTCTACACTAATGGGATTTTGTAGAATATAACTCCATAGTAAGTTGCTGTCTCTCTTTATCTTTTAAAGATAATTCAGAAGAGACTGGAACAAATGAAAAGAGGCACTTTTGGTATGAATAAATCTAGACAAAAGCGAAAGCAAGTTTCTGAACTTTCAACAAACTAATGGAAAGTTAAGCTATGAACAAACATACTGCTAACCGAAGCTAGGATAGAAATTATCTTATGCATAATTTTCTCATTTATAAGACACACATGAGAAAATTGTGCATAGAAGTTTGATTTCAATTCTCAAATGTCTTTGATTAACCTCTCCACAACATTTTAGGCAGGAGAAAAAAAAGCAGGCTTAAAATTATTTCCTAATAACTTTCTAATGAGAAGTTTAAACCTCAGTAGTCCCAGGCATCAAAGTTTGATGGTACAGTCCGCTATGAATTCCCCATTTGCTACAGGTCAGTGAACTTCAAAGGAGCTGATTCAATAAAGTACTTTGATCCACATTTAAACTTCAAAATACGATAAACTGCTTTATTGAATAGTAAAAAGTGCATGATATAATGCACTGCCAGCCTGCTTTTAAACAAATAAACCTCAAAGTGTCATGAGTTATTTGTTCCATATTCATCACACCTAATTCAGATTCTTCAATAGAAGTCAAATAGGAAAGCTACTGGTAGTAAGAGCCCTTTTAAGGTGATAGAAGGAAATAAGACCTGCAGAAGGGGATTCATGCCCAAGATGATCCTGGGGCAGATACACTGTTATTGCACAGTAGACTGGGAGTCCATGAAATATTCTCCAGCAGGAAAAAGAAATGCCAATTCTGTACTGAAAGCTATCCCAACTTCTGTTTGTAACTGAAAAAAAGGGAGAATCAGAGTCACCAAGGTTGGAGAAGACCTCCAAGATCATCCAGTCCAACTGCCCACCTACCAGCAATCCACTAAACCACATCTCTTAGTACAGCATCTAAATGTTTCTTGAAGACCTCCAGGGACGGTGACTCCACCACCTCCCTGGGCAGCCCATGCCAGTGCCAAGCAACTCTTTCAGAGAAGGAACTTGTAGGAGAGAAGAGCTGTCTGCTTACTGCACAGACATTGCTCAGAATAAAACCTTGATATTGACCACTTATAATTTAGGAGGTTAACATACAGAATGCTTCATTTTAGAATTTCAACTGAAAAGTGAAAGTTTAAAGAGCTGAAGTTACACTATTAAAATAAAACATGCTGAAGTTCAGCTTACCCCATAAAAAGCATAGGCTATGACACAAGCATTCCATAGACAGATCTTTCATGACTATAGGCCTATTAATTACATCAGAATCTTAAGGTTCTTTTAAAATTTTGTTCACTCTTAGAATCTCTCTAAAACATATTTGTTCTTATCCATATTAGAAGCAATATTTTTTGAAAGTGAACTTCACCTCCATGCCATTGGTGGACCAGGCACCTTTGCTTCTAACTAAAGATACTCAAGTATTTCCAGTACCTACATTCCAGTTGTTTGGGTGTGTTTTCCTGTTGTGTTTGTTTGGCTGCTTTCTTGTTTGTTTTCCTTAAATCCTTAAATCTATGTAAACTGATAGATTTTATAGAGGATACAGAATAGAGATACATAAATCGCTCTGTTATTAGTAAATTGAGGCATGTATCAAAAGCTCACTATATGAAATTGCATAATAGTTTTCATACAGAAGTTAACAGTCCTATCTGTTCAGAATCAATCACATTAATTCTAAGCCTCTCAGCATTAGACTTGCGCTGAATGACAGTAAATGTTTCCTAAATAACATCAGAACAGAAGGACAGGGAGTTGAAGTGAATGTAATGAGTTTCTCTTCAACATTTCTGAAGTAGAAGTAACTTCATTTTAAGTAATTCATATACATTAGTGTAAAAAAAAAAAAATCCCAATTTTAGGAAATTTCAATAATTAACTCTGGACGACAATAATCACTGTACATTCCTATCTGCCTTCTCAGAACAGTGACAATTTCTTCAGTTATTTCTGGGGGACTTGATCTGTAATCATATTTCTGTATTCCTTTTACAGGATAAAAGATAAACTAATTAGCAGTGTTTTCTATACATCTCAAACCAGTCTAGATTAATCTATTATTAATAATAATATGAGCACAATAAAGTACAAAGCATGTAAATGCATGCTTAACAGTACAAATATTAATTAAATCTTTACCTCCACGTTAAACATTGCTTAACACTTTGCTTTTAGGGCAGTATGTATAATTTCAGTGGAAATATTCTCATGAGCATAGTAAAGAAAGTTGCCTTGACAATATGCTTAAGAGTCATAAATTGGCTGCTTGCCTGAAGTTATCCAAGTTTCTCTGTCACAAATTAAATACATTTTTCCATGAAATAAGTTTTACCATGGGAATTTATAGTGTCATTTTTTCATAAAACAAGGTTTATTATACTGTTTAGTATTTTAATGTGTGTTACAACTCCATAAGCACAGAAAACTGGACAAAATTGTTTGTAAATAATGCATTATGCCTTACTTTTTCATATCAGCTTTTATGAGTAGGAATTAATTTTCATAAATTTGTTGATTCTTCATGAATACTGTGAGTAAAAATATACCATCCTTTTAAAGAATTGGAAACCACGTACTTACAAGTGTTCTGTATGCAATTAATTTGTTATTTGGGCAATGAAATTGTTATATTGCATTGAAAGTTCAAAAAAGTCACAAGCACCTTTCAAGTTGCAAGCATTTCTGTTTGCAAACAAAACCATTTCAAAGCAAATACATGCCATACATACATGACATATGGACAGCCATGACACATGGACAACCAGGATAACTTAGGAGGAAATGAGGATGCCTGCCCATGGTAATGCATACAGAAACACAGATTCTACATATGCTGCAGAATGCT